GCAACGCACCGTTTTGTCCTTCCCTTCGCTGACAGTCTTGAGCTTCACAGCCAATCTCTTGTACTTGACGACCTCATCCTGCAGCTGCTTCACCTGTTGTTGGTGGTGAGCTTGGTCGGCTGTCCCTGGTTTTCCATCATCGTCCTTAGCCTGTGACGCTTGCTCCGGTTGCTGTGCTTCCAGCTTGGCTTTGGCATCGTCCAGTTGCTCCTTGAGGCGTTTGATCAACAGCATTTGCTTCTGGGTTCGCTCCACGAGCTCATCTCTGCTCATGGAAGCAATCTTGCTTGCCATGTTTGTTGGTTTGCCCCCCGAGCTGTCAACAGGCTAACCAACCAACCGACCAACCAACCAACCCAAGACAAGCAGGGCACGCAAAAGCGTGGGAGCGACAGCAGGCAAGAAGGCAACAATCGAAGGCTGCCAAGCTAGCTGGCTCGCTTGAAGGCAGCCACCACACAACACCACCAACACCAAGCGGAACAAGCAAAGTTGTGAGGATTTGTGAAAATTTTCAACCAATAATCGCGGGTGACACAGAGGGCCGGATGCTGTTGGGGCGAGTTGCTTGTGCCGCAGTGCTTGGTGGTGTAAGTGGTGGTGGTTGCTGTGCAAGAAGTGTAAGCTGCTGCTGCTGCTGCTGGAGTGTTGGTGCAGCGACTCGTGGCCGGCCTTGGCGGCGCCCTGTCTTGCAATTAACAAGGCGCAACCTTCAACCAACCATGCCAACCTCACAAGAAGTGAAACAAAAGGTGTGTGTGTGTGTGTGTGTGTGTGGGGGGGGGGGTCAATGTGCCTGAACCGTGATGGGATGAGATGAGATGAAAAGAGATGAAATACCCCCCTCCTGTGCGCAGACGCTTGTGGCTCGTAGGGCATGTGATGATATGAGAGGGCGTGTTTGGTCGTGTGGAGGATCGCTTGTTTGCTTGCTTGTGTGCTTTGTCGTGCCACTTGCTTACGTGTGACCATACGCCAACGCATTGTGCCACATGGGTTTGTTTGGTGGGAGCAGATTTTGGGCACCCCAGCGGTCCAGCAGCTCAAGCACATCTTCCAAGAGGACCACCATGAGTTCAGGTGTGTGCCTGTCTGTGTGTCTGTGTGTGTATCTGTGTGTGCGTCTGTGTGTCTGCGTGTGCGTCTGTGTGTCTGCGTGTGCGTCTGTGTGTCTGCGTGTGCGTCTGTGTGTGTCTGTGTGTTTGTGCTGCGTCTTGCTCTCCCTCGCTCATCAAGACAAACTCGCTCATCACTCACACCCACTCATGCCTGCTTCCTTGCTTATTTGACCGTGGTTGTTCTCAAGGCTCGTTGGCGGTGCTGTGAGGGACATCCTGCTGGAGCGGTGGCCTAAGGACTACGACTTTGCCACCACAGCCCTGCCTCAGCAGACGCAGCAGCTGCTGGAGTCACGCGGTGTGCGCGTCGTCCTCACGGGATTGCAGCACGGCACCGTGACCGCTGTCATCGACAACGTGCCATATGAAGTGACAACACTGCGCCTGGACCACGAAGGGGCGGAGGGCACGGGCCCCGTGTGCTTCACCGATGACTGGAAGCTTGATGCAGAGCGCCGCGATCTCACCATCAATGCCATGAGCATGGACCTCGATGGACACATCTTCGACTACTTTGACGGCAGGGACCACCTCGCACAGGAAAAGTCAGTCCCACAAGCTGTCCACGTGCGTGTCTGTGTCTACGTGTGTGTGTGTGTGTGCGTGTGTGTGTGTGTCTGTGTGTGTCTGTGTGTCTGTGTGTCTATGTGTCTGTGTGTCTATGTGTCTGTGTGTCTATGTGTCTGTGTGTCTGTGTGTCTATGTGTCTGTGTGTCTGTGTGTGTCTGTGTGTATACGTGTTTGTGTGCCTATGTGTCTGTATGAGTGTATGTGTGTACACTCTTGCTGCGGTGTTCTGTCTTTCAAGTTTGTGGCTGTGTGTCCCTTCGTACACTGTGCCTCTCTCCTGCTGACTAACACGTCGGCTGACCACCGTGCCAGGATTGTGTTTGTCGGTGATCCGGCCCAGCGCATCCAAGAGGATTTTCTTCGCATTCTCCGCTACTTTCGCTTCCACGGAAAAGTTTGCCGCCACAACAACCACGAGCCCGCTCAAATTCAGGCACGATTGTGTGTGTGTGTGTGTGGGTGGGTGTATTGTTCTCTGCTTCTCTGTGTTCCTCTTTCTCCATCTCCATCACGTCACATGCAGTGCATTTCACGTGTTATTGACATGTGTACACGACTTAATTCCTCCACACATCACCACCTAGGCAATCACGGACAATGTCCAGGGACTGGAATCTGTCTCCGGTGAACGCATCTGGATGGAAATGTCAAAGATCCTCAAGGTAACATGCCCTTTGCGCTGCGTGCTTGTGTTGTTGTGCAGACGTGTGTGCGTGCATGTATGTCTGCGTGACAGAGATTCCACCCGTTGTGCCGATTCGCTGAAGAAGAACGCAACACTCACCCACGCATGCGGCTCATCATTGCATCATGCGCATGTATCCTTGCCTCAACCACACACACACACCTCCTCTCCTCATTTCTATTTCCTAGACGGCACGTGCACCGGAGCTTGTCGAGTGCATGCAAGCATGCGGTGTTCTTCCGCATATTCAGCTTGCGAACGTGGAACAGCACCACTTGCAGCGCCTGCGTCATGTTCACAGGTTGTTGTTGTTTAAGTTGTTGTTGTTTAAGTTGTTGTTGTTGTTGTTGTTGTTGTTGTTGTTGTTGTTGTTGTTGTTGTTGTTGTTGTTGTTGTTGTTGTGTATGTGTTGACATGTGGAATGTCTTGTGATGACCTGCTGCTGCTGCCGCGTGCTGTGTTCTCTCGAGTCCGCGCTTTCGTTCACCTCCGCATGGCTGTTGCGTTGCCTGCAGGTATGAGCTCGAGCCCGCTACGGCGCTGACGGCGCTAGTGGACGACGTGCAGCAGTTTGAGGGCGTCGCTGCTGCCTGGCGCCTATCCAATGCAGAGCGCAAGCTGGGGCTCTTCATCATTCAACACAGGTGCGCACAATGTGTGTCTGTGTGTCTGTGCTGTGTGTGTGTGTGTGTGTGTGTTGTGTGTGTGTGTTGTGTGTGTGTGTGTGCGTGTGTGTGCGTGTGTTTGTATCTGTGTCTGCGTCTGTGTCTGCGTGCATGAGCCCACCATCAACCTATTTCCTTGTGCTCAGCATTTGCATTGTCAGCGTCAACTCCACATTGCTCACACTGTCCTTTGCTTCCTTTCTAACACTGCATTGAACACTGCTTGTCCCTGTCTCGATGTTCAACCCAGGGATGTGGATGTGTGCATGAATTCGGCGCAAGATCTCCTTGTGGACGGAATTAATCGCACATACGTCACCCAACTCTGCCGTTACCAGGGCCATGTATGTGTGTGTGTTTGCATGTTTGCGTGTTTGTGTGTTTGCTTGTTGGCTTGTTGCTTGTTTGCTTGTTTCCTGGTGTGGACGGCAGGAGCAGTGTGACTGATAGCTTGCATCATTGCTCGCCCTTCTCTCCGACACCACAGCTTGACATCGCTGTCGCCATGCAAGATTGGGCCGTCCCCGAGTTCCCCATCACCGGCAAGGTGAAAACACACACACGCACGCACACACACACACACACACACACACACACACACACACACACACACACACACACACACACACACACACACACACACACACACACACACACACACACACACGCGCGCGCGCGCGCGCGCGATCAACTGCTGTGTCCTTTCTCTCATGCCCCGGGACCAATCGCCCATGACGTGTCGTTTCGCCGCGGACAGAAACTGATACAGCACGGCCTTAAACCAGGCCCCAATATGGGACGTGTGCTCGCTGCTCTCAAGGACAACTGGAAGCAATCGAGGTGTGGGGAAAGGAGAAGAAGAAAGGGGTGTTTGCATGAGGAGTCTGCATGAGGAGTCTGCGGTGATGTTTGCGCTGCACACAGCTAAGTAAAGTGTGTATGTGTGTGTTTGTGTGTATGTGTGTGTTTGTGTGTATGTGTGTGTGAGGTCTCTCGCTTGTTGTCGTGCCCACCCACTGACTGCCTCATACACTCACATTCACGTGCACACTCACCCCGGCAGGTTTCAGCTTGGGGAAGAAGAGCTGCTTGCACAAATGGACAGTGTGGTCGCATCGCTGTCATAGCACTGTCTCCATCACACCTTTAGACTTGAATGTTTAGGCCCACCCTGTCTGTCTGCCTGTGTGTGTGTGTGTGTGTGTGTGTGTGTGTGTGTGTGTGTGTGTGTGTGCTCACGTAGTGGTGTTTCTGTCAAATGTGTGGGTGGGTGGTCCGTGCGTGGTGCGCATCGTAGCTCGTGCTGTGGCACGGACGCGATCTGCGGTGTTTGTCTTGCCTTTTCGTCTTTTCATTAACAACACCCCAGTTGGTGCCATAAACAACCAATCACCAATCATTGCTTCAGTCCACTGCATGCTCTTCCCTCTTCTGTCACCGAAACCACATCACACGCAGTGGCACTAACCAGCCAGCCTAACAAGCAACTACACATTACCCCACCCACACAATACACGCACGCTGTGTGGCATGAGTGATAATGTGTGCAGTGAGTACGTCAGTGACCGTTGGCATTTGTAACCTGAACACCTAATCTGCCTGGATACATGTATGCGTGTGTGTCTGCAATTGTGCGTGTGTGTCTGCAATTGTGTGTGTATGCGTGTGTGTGTGTGTGTGCGTGTGTATGTGTGTGTGTGCGTGTGTATGTGTGTGTCTGCGTGTGTGTTCAGGAGCACGCCTCGAGTGCGACGTCCTGTTCCGTCACGGCGTCCTCACGCAGACTCAACCGCTTCACAGTCTGGTGGTGATGGGGATGATGGTGGTGGTGATGGCGGTGGTGGTATTAGCGGAGGGTTAGGATGTCATTGGAGCCACCATTTCTCGATACAGACACACACACACACACACACACACATTCTCACGCAAACACACATCCACACGCGCACACACACACACACATTCTCACGCAAACACACACACACGCACGCACGCACACACACACACGCACGCACACACACACACGTTCAAGTAACGTATTACCTCGTAGGTGGTGATCATGAGCAGGCTGTTGAATCCCATGTAAAACACGCGGGCAGACACGCCCTTGAAGAGGCCACGAACACCCTCCTCCTTCCACAGCTCCCCGAAGATGGTCGCCCACCCACGCTTGTCGCCAGCACGCCCCTCCACCTGGTGACATAAGATGGGTGGCGAACGTGCAGTGTGGTGCATGGTGAGGTGATGATGCGTGCCCAGCCGCAATTGCAATTCGCTGTAGCCTCGACTCAAACACAGCCACTGACCACACACACACACACACACACACACACACACACACACACACACACACACACACACACACACACACACACACATGCAACATACACACACCTCACATGCACACATCCCAGAATCACACCACCTCACCGACAACACTTACACACAGCACCTCAGCACCTCAGCACCGCCTACAGACAGCCCATCACCTGGAGCCGTGCGCGGACAACATCGAGTGGATTTGTGGTGACGGCCGTGATGGCTCCAGCCATCGCTCCCGCCAACGCCTGCAGCGCAATCGTGTACGTTCCTTGGCGCACTGCCTCGGTACCTGTTTGTTTGTTTGTGTGTGTGTGTGTGTGTGTGTGTGTGTGTGTGTGTGTGTGTGTGTGTGTGTGTGTGTGTGTGTGCGTACACGTATGACCCTGAATGTGGACTGCAGTGCAAGGCTGTGCCGAGAAGCACGACTGCGCGTGCAAAAAAAAGCGCGTGACCGATGTTGGTACATGACAAGTACACGCACCTGATTGCCACCGGCGGATGACGCCATATGATGCCCACCTGTGCACGCACAAGCAAAGTCGCGTGTGAAGGAGTGCGCTAACGAGCGGAAATGGGTGCATCTTGGAATGCCTATCGATATACTTGCACACACACACACACATTCACGAATAAGCGATGCATGGCACAGCTCACGCACCAGAGGCCGCTGCTCGGGCCAAATGCAGCAACAGACGCCCAGTAGCCTTTCATAAACCCTCGCAGACCCTACGTAGACGTGATGTGACAGGTGCAGGGATGCATGAGTGGTGTTGGTGGTGAGGGAACGAGACCGCCGTGTGGTTGCACGACAGGAGAACATGCACGGCACGTCAAGCATGTATCAGGCAGTGCAGGTTATGTGAAGTGACGCCACACCTGCGATGAGTAGATTTGCCTGACGAGTGCACGCGCCGTCAGCGGCTCCATGCGCTCGCCCATGGTGATGGACTGTCCGTGAACCATCAGCCGCTGGGAAACCACGTTCACGGGTACCACAATCGTCTGCTCGGGTGTGGTTGAGAGAGAGACAGAGACAGAGACAGAGAGGGGGGGGGTTGAGTTGGGGGAGAAAGACAGAGCGGGGCGTGAGGGGTGAGAAAAGAGAGAGAGAGAGAGTGTGTGTGTGTGTGTGTGTGTCTGTGTCTGTGTGTGTGTCTGTGCGTGTCTGTGTGTGTGTGTGTGTCTGTGTGTGTGTGTCTGTGTGTGTGTGTGTGTGTGCTGAATGGCGAGTGTTTGGTAAGTCCAGTTGTCACTTTGCAGCTGCAGTCGCCACGCGGGCGCATTGCAGCATCGCAACCCGACCTGGGAGACCATAGAGGCCAGGCCGCCGCCAAGCAAGTTGCGTGAAAACTCGCTGGAGATGAACGGCTGCAGCTGGTCCTTCAGGCCCTCATACGATGTGATGTATCTGCGAGAGCAAGTACGCACATGTGTATGAGTTGAGACAGTCCAATATATGCACACGCCCACATACACACACGCACACGCACACATATGAACACACACGCACACACACACACGCACACACATTCACACTTACACTTGGCCGGCGCCGACGTTGAGGAGGTTTGGCATGAACCCCTTGTAGAGGGCACGGACGCCCTCATACTTGATGATCTTCCGGAACGCGTCCACCGTGCCGTTGTAGAATGAGCGCTGTCGTCAACACCAGCGTCACAGCGTGAGCTCATGTATACGACTGCCCCTGCTACATTACACGCACGATACACACACACACAGACACACACAGACACACACACACACACAGACACACACACACGTACACAGACACACACAGACACACACAGACACACACACACATGAACACACCTGCTTCTGCACTTGAAGGCGCGTCTTGACGAGGGTTGTTGGGTAGAGGATGATGCGAGTGAGGATGCCTGCGAGAGGGGCGAGGGTGTAGAAGCGGGTCTTGTCAATGTGCTCCCAGTCAATGACAGCTGGTTGGAACGTCTTGCTGAGCGCTTTGCCATCAGAGTCCACAGCAGCGCCTGCACCATGTCGCTGTGCATCACTGCTACCACCACCACCACTGCTGCTGCTGCTGCTGTTGGTTGTCGTGGTTTCCGTGGTTTCCGCCACAGCCGCTGCCAGCGCCCTTTGGCGTTGTACGTGCGCCAGTATCGCTGCTGTGTGCGTGTATGCTCCCTGTGGCCTGTGGTGCCCTGGTGGGGTGCTTATCCACCGCGCAGCAGGCTCGGGCGTGCTGCTGCTATCATCTCGGCCCATCTTTCTCTCTTGCTGTTGCTGTGTTGTTGCGTCGCTGTTGTTGTTGTTGAGATTGCGCCGTTTTTCGCGCAAGGCTATGATGGTTTAAGGGTTTACGTTCTGACATTGGCCAGTAGCACAGCGAGACAGCGCACCCACGCGCAACCACAACATGAACACCGACGCAAACTCACTCAAGGACTCAAGGCACCCACCCTCTCCAGCCGTCCCTTCTCCTCACCTTCCTCCTCTCAGCTTCTGTACACACGCGCACACACTCCACTACTCCCACCCATTCGTTGCAAACGAAGAAAGACAGACATACCAGCATACATGCCGACTTGCAGTGCACATGCAGGCACAGCACACAATCATGTACACAGACACACACGCGCACGCACACAGGCACAGCACACGCGCACACACACTGAACACCACCCTTTTTGCTCCTTCACCCTCCTTCACCCTCGTGCATCATCAGCTCGCATCTCGAAGCACAACATGCACGCAAAGACGCTGGAACATGGTAGAACGTAGGTCTATTATCAAGAGAGTGTAAGGGAGGGAAAGGGGATTAGCAGAGGGTCGCTGCGCCGTCCTCGCAGGTGATGGAGGAGTCCACCCGGAAGAGACGGCCACTCGTGCAGAGGCAAAGCGCAAAAGCGTTGCTGGGGCCCGCAGCTGTGGGCAGGTTCTGCAACTCCAGGTTGTCTGCGCTGAGCACAATGTCGCCTTGCTCTGCTTCCAGGTGCACGCCTTGGAAGGCATTGATGTTGACGTTGTTGGTGGTGCTTTCCAGGGTCACGTTCTCCGTGGCGGTGAGCAGGAGCTCCTGCCCAACGCTGCGCAGGGTCAGGCCCTCGGCGTCCTCGTACGAGTTGGCGATGGTCGAGGTTTGCACCACCCCGCGCACGCGCATGCCCGTGTCTGTGTGGACGACCACGTCGTTGGACGTGATGCGCGTCTCGGCCTGGCTGGTGGAGAAGTAGGTGTCACCCATGAAGCTCAGGTCAAATGTACGCGCGCCCACGTCCACGGCAACGCCGTCCATGACCAGCTCGCTGCGGTCGTTGCCCACAGGCTCAAAGGAGCGCAGGATGATCTGCTGGTTGCTCTCCACAAGCAGGGTGGAGTTGTCGAAGCCGGAGATGTTTGACGCAAGAATGCCGTTGGTGAACTCGGCGCGGCCGCGCACAAGCAGGCGCTGGTCCTGGAAGTGCAGCGGGCCCGCGCTGTCCTCGTTCAGGTCCATGACACGGAAGATGAACACCAGCATGCCCAGGTTGATGATGCTGAGGCAGACGAGCAAGAGGACGCTCAGGTACAGGCAGTACTTGCGCCAGCCGTAGATGCCAACGCGCGTTGTCAGCACATTCACCATGTGGTGGTCCAGGTCATCCTGTGAGGTTGGCGACGACGTGGACAGGTTTGAAGCTCGGCTGGTGCTGGTGTTGAACCTGTTTGACTGGGTGTTGTTGCCGTTGCTGCGTTGCGTGACATTCCGCCGCCTTGGCGATTGTGGCGGCGAAGGGTTCACCACATACGAATCCTTTGCCATCGTGCTCGTGAGCTCGTTTGTTGATGCGCTGATCCGTCTGTGTGTCTGTGTCTGTGTGTGTGTGTGTGTGTGTGTGTGTGTGTGTGTGTGTCTGTGTCTGTCTGTCTGTGTCTGTGTGTGTGCGTGATGTGAGCGAGGGTGGGTGTGTGTGTGAGGTGAGCTTGAGAGTGGCAGCGACTCGACAGCGACTCGACAGCGACTGCTTTGTTTGTGCGCTTCGTCTTTGGTGCTTGCGTGCAAGCAACGGAAAAAATAGGGGGGAAAAGGAAAAACTGACGAGGAAGAGGTGCGGTTTGCATGTTTTGCAACGGAAACAAAGCAAGCAACAAGAAGCAAGCAAGAAGCAACACAAGCAAGCAGGCAGGGCAGAAGCAGGCGAGAGAAGCGAGCACCATCCCATCCACCCCATCCATATCAACAAGGCTTGCGCGAACTGAAAGCAGCACAGCAGGCTGGAACAGGTATGTGTGGGCCTGTGATAATGTGGTATGGTGTGATGTGCTGTGGATGAGAACGTGTGCTTTGCACCTGTGTGCTGTTGGTTGGTGTATGGCTGATGATGCTCAACCACCAACGCCCGCGTTCTCGTTCTCATAAGCATAATCACCCACTTTGCACATGGCACGTTCTGCCAACCGCATCTGTTCCCCCCCCCCCAAAAAAAAGGATGTCGGAGCGACGGTACCTTGAGAGAGGTGCGGTGCACACCAAGAACGCGCCACCAGAGCGGAAAGTGGTTCCACGCAGAGAAGATGACGATGCGCTCTATGGCACCTCCGGCCGCATTCGAAGAGGATCAAGCAAATACATTCCAGGCAGCAAGTCATGGTGCGTATGATCGTGTGTGTGTGTGTGTGTGTGTGTGTGTGTGTGTGTGTGTGTGTGTGTGTGTGTGTGTGTGCGTGTGTGTGTGCGTGCGTGCGTGCGTGTGTGCAAAGTTGTATGCGTGCTTGCCTGATTGCCTGCTTGCCCGCTTGCCTGCTCGCCTGCTTGCGCATCGCTATGCTCTTCTTGCTCAGCTTTTCCATGCCCGTGCTTGCAAGCACTACAGCGCGCATGCACAAAATGCACGCGCAACAACTCACAGACTTGTTCACTCAAACAACGACAACAACCACGTGCAGGTATTCTGGGTTCAACGTGCAGGGCCAGGACGACCCTCTTGTGGAGACCTATCCCGTTGGTCTTCGGCGGCGGCGCCTGTGGTGCGTCGTTGGCCTCGTGGTGCTGTGTGGGCTGCTGTCCATCACCGCACTGATCGGCAGCATCTGGATCATCAACCAGCTCAACATCGACTCGCGCGGCATGCACGCCATGGTCATTGATGGCGACACCGTGGGCTTCCTGCACGAGTTTGGTGCAGACGAAGTGTTTGTGCGGGGTGAGGCAGAAGTCTACATTGTTCGCGGTGCACCGGAGAATCCAACAATCTTCAGATCTGATCAGGTGCGGGTGTATATGTGCGTGTGTGAGTATGTACGCGTGTGCGGGTGTGAGTATGTACGCGTGTGCGTGTGAGTATGCATGCGTGTGCGTGTGTACAGTGTGTGCCTGTGTGTACTGTGTACGCGTTGCTGGCACGAGCATGCCTTCTTCTTGTCTCCCTGTCTCTCCCTCCGTCTTCCGTCCTTTCTGTCTCCCTGACTTACTCACCTCCTTCCTTTCTCACGCACGATGGGTAGGTTCGGTTTCGGGCGCTGAGCCAATCGCAGTCATCCCAGTCAACCCTTGATGTTGGCGGCGCAGACGTTCACCTGAGCTCTCCGCGCCTTCGCGTCACCCCCGAGGTCAGCCCGTTGAGTTGGACTGCCAGTGAGTACAAGAGTACAAGCCAAGCACCATTTTGTGGCGCTCTGCTCTTTGAGACCCTTGCTCAAGCCATTCTCTGCCGCTCAATGACTCATCCATCATGTGCACACCAACTCAACTACGACTCTGCCCCGGTCGATTCGCTGCGCAACAGGACTCATCGACGGCGCACTTTGTTGGTGATGCGGAACAAACACAGTTCTCGTCCGAGGCCCTCGTCATCGAAAACAACATCACCGCTCGCCCACAGGTTTGTGTGCACTCAAACAGACAAGAGGAACAAAGGCAAAGGTCGTTTGGGAAGGGTGGAGAGTGGAGGCGCGCGTGAATGTGTGTGTGTGCGTGTGTATGCGGGTGTGTGTTTGTGTGTGTGTGTGTGTGTGTGAGGCTCCCCCCCCTCTCTCTTTTGGCATCGCTGGCGTGAGTGCGATGGCCGCATTTCAAACCAGCTATTGCATGCATGCACGTGGCAGAGAGAGTACTCGTAAAGTTTCTCTCACTGTGCTCCTTGGTTCCTCCTCATCTTTCCGCTTTGCTGCCCCTCCCCCGAACCATTGTGCCTTGCATGCAGGTGGAAGCGACGCGAATTGAAGCAAACGCAGGGGAGCCACTGGTGGTGACATCGGACCGCAGCTTGACTGCAACATCGTTCCTCGACACCACGCTGAGCAGCACCCACGGGCACGTGCACGTGCGAGCGCGCGGGCCAGGGAACAACCTGACGTTTGTCAACACAAACGACATTGTCACCGCCATTCCTTTCCTGGAGTCGAGCTTCAACGCCGGGGGTGACGGGATGTTCCTGAACCTGCGCCAGCTGCGGCGACCAGACGCCGTCTCGAGCGGGAACCTCACCAGCTTCACCCTGTGCAACTGCGCAGACAACTCCATCTATCTTGTTCAAGGCAACGCAACCTGTGCCGACACCCCGACCCAGTACCTCTCCCACCCCTGCCTCTAAATGAATGACAAGCATAGAGAAGCATCTATGAATGCAAGAAAGAAAGAAGCAACCCTGTCGTGTGGAATGGCGCCCCTCGTTTGGCTGTTTGGTGTGTTTGCTTGTTTGTGTGTACAGAACTTCTTTGAGAAGAAGAGAGATGCATGTACGTGCGTGCATGTGATCATGAGCAGGGAGGGAGAGAGCTGGTGGGTTGCTTGCTCTTGCTGGCATGCCATGTGCCTACGTGAGTACGTGTTGTGCTGTTGCGCTGCTGTGAGTGTGTGTGTGTGTGTCATGTCAGTCAAGATGTCACACTGAAGGAAGGAAGGAATCAAAAGCAGCAAGCGCGCACATGGCGAAAAATCTTCTTTGGACGTTGCGGACAACAACAACGAGAACGGTGGTTGCGAGACAGCGACAAAGCACCACACACACACACACACACACACACACACACACACACACACACACACACACACACACACACACACATACACACATACACACATACACACACTACACACACACTACACACTACACAACACAAGCAGCGCTGACGCCACCATGCCATTGAGTGGAGGGGGTGGCAGTACTACTGTTGTTGTGACGCACCCACGACGACGAAAGCGGAAGAAGAACAAGAAGAAGCGGCTGCCAAAGCGCAGCAAGGTGTTCTGCGAGCGAAAGTGGCTGTACCCAAAGGACCTCGCACAGCAGCTGCCGACAGACTCGGACGGTTACGTGCACGAGCTCACCGTCGTCGATGGCAAGGCAAAGGAGATGGACGTCGGCAGCCGCCCCAAGAACATGATCGTCGTGAAAACCGCAGACGGAACCCAGCTCTACGTCGTGCCGTGCCACGTGAAGACAGTCGCATCCACGCGCAAGAAGAAAGGCAGCAGGTGCAAACCGAGCCGCCCTTCAAGCTCGACATCCACACAGACCGCACTCGCAGCCATCGCCAACAACGACCACGACGACGACCACCACCCTCACCACCGCCACCACGTTCCAATGGACGCTGACGGGTTCATCACAACAACTGCAACAGCAACATCGCGCGTGCCACAGGCCAGAGCAGCCATGCACGACGACTATGACAGCGAGGCAACCGACAGCGAAGCCGACTCCGCCGACGACGATTCAGAGGCAGACTCCGAGGCCGAGGCCCTGCCGTACATCCACGACCAACCCCCCAAGCCACTCTCCTCCTCCTCCTCCTCCTCCTCCTCTCGGCACGCTTCAGAAGCACAGGCACCAGCACAGGCACCAGCACAGGCACCAGCACAGGCACCAGCACAGACACCAGCACGGGTAGCAGTCGACGCGCTCATCTGCGGACACGCGGTGTGTCTTCTCATTCCACCTCTCCTCTTTCAAGTTCGGCCTCTTCCTCCTTGCCGTCCTCGTCCTCCTCGTCGCGTGCATCCAACCGTGATGCCGATGTGGCACCGCTGCCAATCACCGCCACGACCCGCCAGCCCCTCGACCCCTCGCCGCACTCCTTCTCTGCCGTGATACCAGCACCAGCACCAGCACCAGCACCAGTACCGCGTATTGTGGCGGCTGAACAGCCGTTGAGGGAGTTGGATGTGTTCCTGCGCTTCCTTCCCGTCACATTTCTACAAGCATCGGTGGTGCCGGCAACCCAAGGCGAGCTCGACAAGAAGAACGCCTCAGCACTGCCGCTCACCTTGGTTGAGCTTCTGCAGTACGTCGGCCTCGGGTTTGTGGTCGCATGTGGCAGCTTGACGGCGGAGGAGAGATTCGCAACGCCGCCCAACACGCACGCGGACGATCCAACGGCCATGGCGCCGTCCCAGTGCCTGGCTCGATTCATGACGTGGCGCCGATTCGTGGACATCAGCAACAACCTTCGCATTACCGTATTGAACAGCCCATCGCACCAACACCGTCGCAGCAGAAGCACCAGCACCGGCAGTAGTGGTAGCAGGGACACAAACGGCTTCACCAAAGGTGTGGGCGAGCTGTGGAAGGAGTGGAATGCCAACATGCAGCGCACTGGGGCTGGCACCCGTGCCGAACACACGACCACCACGCTTCCCGCGGTTGTTGAACCGTTCTGCACGCTCGACAGCCATCGCCTCGCCGCCGCCATCCCCAACCGCAAGACCCGTACGTGATTGTCTTTGTATGTGTGTGTGTGTGTGTGTGTGTGTGTGTGGTGTGTGTGCGTGTGTGTGTGTGTGTGTGTATGTGTATGTGTGTCTTTGTGTGTCTTTGTGTGTGTGTGTGTGTGTGTGTGTGTGTGTGTCTTTGTGTGTCTTTGTGTGTGTGTGTGTGTGTGTGTGTGTGTGTGTGTGTGTCTGTGTGTGTGTGTGTGTGTGTGTGTGTGTGTGTGTGTGTGTGTCTGTGTGTGTGTGTGTGTGTGTGTTATATCAGTGCGACCGCGTGCGTCTTTTGATGTGTATGTTTGAGTCGATGTAATTTGGCTCTTTCTTTGCACCCTTGCGCCTCCTTGTGCTCACATCGTCACCATCAACAACATCTACGTGCGTGCATGCACAGGGCACGTGTGCCAAGTCTGCACGAGGAGTGGCCTTGTGACACGCATGGATGTGTTTCCGGCCCGCAACGGGCGATCAGATGTCGCCTTCTTCCCCATTGAGGACGCCAGCCTGTACTTTCGCGGCCGCCTGTCTCTGGCTGACCACGACTTCCTCTCTCGCAGTGTCGACCCTTTTGAAGACAAGTGGGGCTCCAAGCACCCGTCGCTGGTGCAGTTTGTGTTTCTCATCACCGTCACCGCCGTCAATGCGTTTCTTGAGCACGGGCGACAAACCAACCACCACAGCCACGACTTGCACCACCACCTGCACCAGCACCACCAGCACCACCAGCAGCAACGGCAACGGCAACAGCAGGAAGGCGGCAGGAAGCATGAGCGGCTGCACAGTTTCATGCGAGCACTTGCAAATCAGCTGATTCGAATCAGGGCGGCCGACATTGAGGCCAACACCACAAGCAAGGGGACCACCTCGAGCAGCAGCAGCAGCAGCCGTCGAAGCAGGAATGGTAGTGGCAGAAATGGCGAGACAAGCGGCAGTGGCAGTAGAAGCAGCAGCAGAGGCAGCAGAAGCGGTGGCGAGTGGGGTGGTGCCAGAAGTGGCGGTGGTGGCCGCGATGTAAGCAGACGCAGCACCAGCGCCAGCACCAGCACCAGTAGTAGTTGGAGCGGGAGTCACCGAAGCGAGAGGGCGAGTGTGAGTTACCACGCGCACAGCGGCCATGAAAGTGCCAAGCGGACGGCGCAAGAGGCAACCTCATACCACCGATCACACCATGGCATGTCCGCCCTATCATCGTCGTCATATGGGATGATGGCGCCGAAACGCCCTCGAGGACGATGGTGATAGCACACAAGCGGAGGGAGAATGTCTGTGTGTCTGTGTGTGTGTGTGTGTGTGTGTGTCAACATGTTTGCGTGTGTGTGTGTGTGTCAACACGTTTGCGTGTGTGTGTGTGTGTGTGTCAACATGTTTGCGTGTGTGTGTGTAAAGTTTACACTAGACAAGCCGTTGGTACGGTTTATTTGTCACCGAGCTGCTTCTTTTATTTGCTTCAATTCAAATGCATGGGTGCATGAATGCGTACACGTGTCAACCTAATAATAAACGCACAGACTTGATGACTGACATCAAGGCCAAGAACACGAGCAAGCCCAGGCCCAACACACAACGTTACACAATCGCCTACGGCAACAGTTGCGGCCAACACACCAACTCACCAACCGACCGACCGACCAACCAACCAAGCCAGCGATAAGTCACGCCAAGCAAGCAGCCAGCTTTCGCCGCAGAAATGTCTTGTTTGCATCAACAACCGTCTTCATCGCCGCCCCGTGGTACTGCACAACCCCTTGCAGCTGAAGAACAGCGAGCACAAGTTTGGCAAAGCGCAGGGACTCGGCTTGCGGCACTGCTGCGTACGACAGCAACGAGACGATGCTTGCGAGCTGCGTCTGTGTTGGAGCGTCACACAGCCCCGCCATGGCGGCGAGCACCTCACACATGTTGTCCGTGAGCGGCGTGGACGAGGCAACAATCGCAGCTGCCACGCGCGAAAGGGCCGCCTGCGCTACAGGTGCAGCTGACAGGGCACGTGCCACCTGAAGAGCAAGCACGCGCTGGGGCACACCAAGCCCGCCGGGCGATGTCATGAGTGGCGCAATCACGCCGTCAACCACCGCTTGCGGTCGCGCCGCTGCCGAGTCAAGCAGGGCCTGCTGAAGCGCGCGGGAGGGTGCGGATGCCAGCGCCAGGCACGCAGGGAGGACGAGCGTGTGCAGGATGGCGACAGCATGGTCGTGTGGCAACCCGTTCGTGGTCATGTGGGGTATGTCCCTGGTGACAGCGACAGCAAGCGTCTGCATGCGTAACGACAGCTGCTGGTTGTCCTCGGACGTGCCCTTTGCATTCACTGTCGCTGAAGCAGCTGGTATCGCTGTGGTTGTTGGTTTTGGTGCAGCATGTGCGCCTGTTGTTTCACCAGGGGTAGTTGTTGATGCCCGCTTCTGCTGCTGTTCTTCCGACTGCACCTGCTGCATGGCGTGGGCAAAGACACGGCGACACAGGCGTTCGCACGTGCTCACGTCCACGCGCGAGAGCACGTGCGCCCAGTCGTCAAGATGCGTCTGGCTTTGCGTTGCGGAAGAAGGGGCTGTGTGGTGCAGTCCAGTTGGTGCGGGGCTGTTCAGCGCAAGCATCGCTGTCGTGGCGGCAGAAGTGGTCGGCTGGTTTGCTGCCGCTGTCTGAGCCAACGAGGATGACGACGTGGATGGCGGAGCTGCTGATGCCGCTGTGGCCCACCTGCGCTGAAGCTGCAGTGCCAGGGCCTGCACCTTTCGAGGCGAGGGCATGGACACGCCCGGCGTGCCTGACGACAAGGGCGCTTGTGTCGGGCGCACGGGGCTGGTGGCTGGGGAACCCATTCGGCTGACCTGATGGCGTGATGGGGCCTGCGTGGATGGCACGGTTGAAGGAGGTGGCAACGTGTGCCGTGTATCGCTTCCGGTCAAATGCGCGTGCTTCGTGGATGCTTCTGTTGATATGTTGCTCCGCTCCTCGTGTAAACCAGCTTCAGACAAGACTTTTGCCTTCTTCCTCACATGCTGTTGTTCCGTCTGCTCCTGCTGCTGCTGCTGCTGCTGTTGTTGTTGTTGTTGTTGTTGTTGTTGTTGTTGTTGTTGTTGTTGTTGTTGTTGTTGTTGTTGTTGTTGTTGTTGTTGTTGTTGTGCGCCTGTTGTGGTAACAGTGGCAGCGCCAGCGTGTGGTTGCTGTTGTGTGCTTGTTGTGGTTACAGTGGCAGCGCCGGTGTGACCCGCAAGAATCTGCCGCACGAGGGCGGCGGGTGCAGCGCCGATGGTGTCAGGCTTGGTTTGCTGCGGTAGCAGATTCAATGACAGCGATGTCGCGCGGTCCACTTGTGCAGCTGTGGTTGCTGCTGTTGCTGCTGGGAGTTTTGTTGCGCTGTCGTGAAGGAGTGTCAGGGGACGGGCGTGGAGCCGTTTCGCAAGTGCCGCAGCCGTGGTAGACACTGCGTGGTGTGCATCAGGCGGCAACGACGATGACTGCATGGGCGACCTTGTCATGAAGGTGACGTGCTCACATAGCGCGCGTTGTCGCGCAGTCACGCGCATCATCATCATCATCATCTCAGGAACAGCAGCACCCTGCGTCTCCGACGCTGTGCTGCTGTCTGGCATGTTGCAAAGACCACGCACACAGCCGTCCACAACGCGAGCATCGCTGCGCTGCGCATCACAACACAACAACATGCGCAGTGCCACTTGGCGGCGTTGTTGGCTGTGCTGGTGGTTGTTGTCCGCCATCGATCGTTCACGTTAAGCACAGTGCTGAAAATTCATGAGTGTGACCGCTATTTCTCCGCAACCAACCCGGAAAACACAACAAACAGCAGGCAAGAAGATCGCGATGAGCTCAGACGAGGACGATGACTTCATGGCCTCGCTGCCACGGTTACCCACCACCAAGGAAGGCGCGACCTGCAAGCTGTGCAAGAAGGTTCCTGTGGAGTACCGTGCCATGCCTTGTGGCTGCTTCTTGGCCTGTCAGAAATGCGCGTAAGTGTGCGTGTGAGGAAGAGCTGTCTTTAGGTGTGTACGAGGATGCGTGCATGGTTTTGTCGATGGTACAAAGTCTTGTTGTGTATGTGTTTGTGTTTGTGCGTTGTGTGTGCGGTGTGTGCGTTGTGTGTGTGTTGTGTGTGTTTGTGTGCATGCGTGTGTGTTTGTGTGTGTGTGTTGTGTGTGTTTGTGTGTGTGTGTGTGTGTGTTTGTTCGTTCCCTCCCCCGGTTTTGTGCGCTCACGTTTCGGGTTTCTGGGGTTGAACACTGTCGAGGCAGAATGAAGATTGCCTCTGGAGGCAAGTGCAAGCTATGCCACAGGTTCTTCATTCAGTTGTCACGGCTCCCAGATGACCAGAAGCGCTCCCTGGCCGCATTGGTGCCCGCCACACCAACACAGCACTAATCAACCCTACGCGTGTCGATGCGTGTGTGTGTGCGTGTGTGCGTGTGTGTGCGTGTGTGTGTGTGTGTTTGTGTGTGTGCATCGATGTGTGTGTGTGTGTGCATCGCATTCTCTCCGTACCTCTTCTCTTCCCCTCTCTTCCCCTCTCTTCCCCTCTCTTCTCCTCTCTTCCCCCTCTCTCTTCCCCACGGAGCATAAATAAACCGCAAACCTCACCGATTTCTCATCCGAATCAAATCGGGGCTGTAGCTCAAGTGGTAGAGCGCTCGCTTAGCATGCGAGAGGTACCGGGATCGATACCCGGCAGCTCCACGGTTGACTTTTTTTCCTTCCCCAAATTTCGCTGACTCATTCTTGTCTGCTTCGTTCGTTTTGGTGCAGAAGCAACAATCAGCACTGTCACTGATTGCCTTCTGGTTGCTTCTGCGCTTCCAGCACATGATGACTGTGCTGGTTGCATCTCAGCGCGGCTGGTTGCTTCTCGCACCTGCTTGCGTCTTCGGCAGCATCGCTTGCTTCTTCTTCGTTTGATGTGACACACACACACACGCCCATTGTTCTTGTGTTGTGTCTTGCTGTGTCTGCTGTCGACGCTTTTTTGTTTTTCGCACGCCATCAGAGAAGAAGCACAAGCGCGTGTTCATTTTTCCAATCACATCCAGCGACCACAACAAGCTAACCAAGAAGACAAGCAAGCAAGGAACTCTTCTTCCAATTTGATCTCTGATCAGCTCTCTCTCTCTCTCTCTCTCTCTCTCTCTCTCTCTCTCTCTCTCTCTCTCTCTCTCTCTCTCTCTCTCTCTCTCTCTCTCTCTCTCTGGGCTCACAACAACAACACCCGAGACGCAAAGAAGATGCCAGCCATCGGAATTGATCTGGGCACGACGTACTCGTGCGTCGGCGTGTTCCAGCACGGCAAGGTTGAAATTATCGCCAACGACCAGGGCAACCGCACCACGCCCAGCTATGTTGCCTTCACGGACTCTGAGCGCCTGATTGGCGACCCGGCCAAGAACCAGGTGGCCATGAACCCAAGCAACACCGTCTTCGACGCCAAGCGCCTCATCGGCCGCAAGTTCAACGAGTCGTCCGTGCAGAGCGACATGAAGCACTGGCCCTTCACCGTCGTCGAGGTCGACGGCCGCCCCAAGATCCAGGTCGAGTACATGGGCGAGACAAAGCAGTTCTTCCCCGAGGAGATCTCCTCCATGGTCCTCGTCAAGATGAGGGAGATTGCCGAGGCCTACCTCGGCTCCGAGGTCAAGGACGCCGTCGTCACCGTCCCCGCCTACTTCAACGACTCCCAGCGCCAGGCCACCAAGGACGCAGGCACCATTGCCGGCCTCAACGTCCTCCGCATCATCAACGAGCCCACGGCCGCCGCCATCGCCTACGGCCTCGACAAGAAGGGCCAGAAGGAGGCCCACGTCCTCATCTTCGATCTCGGTGGCGGCACCTTCGATGTGTCCGTCCTGTCCATCGACGACGGCATCTTCGAGGTCAAGTCCACTGCCGGTGACACCCACCTTGGCGGCGAGGACTTTGACAACCGCATGGTCAACCACTTTGTGACCGAGTTCAAGCGCAAGCACAAGAAGGACCTCACCTCCAACAAGCGCGCCCTGCGCCGTCTCCGCACCGCCTGCGAGCGCGCCAAGCGCACCCTCTCGGCCTCCACCCAGGCCAACATTGAGATTGACTCGCTCTTCGAGGGCGTCGACTTCTACACCTCCATCACCCGCGCCCGCTTCGAGGACCTGTGCGCCGACCTCTTCCGCGGCACCCTCGAGCCCGTCGAGAAGGCCCTGCGCGACGCCAAGCTTGGCAAGGGCGAGATTGACGAGGTCGTCCTCGTTGGCGGCTCCACCCGCATCCCCAAGATCCAGAAGCTGCTGCAGGACTTCTTCAACGGCAAGGACCTGAACAAGAGCATCAACCCCGACGAGGCCGTCGCCTACGGTGCCGCCGTCCAGGCCGCCATCCTCTCCGGCGACAAGTCCGAGGAGGTGCAGGACCTCCTCCTGCTCGATGTCGCCCCGCTCTCACTCGGTCTGGAGACGGCCGGCGGTGTCATGACGTCTCTCATCAAGCGCAACACCACCATCCCCACCAAGACCTCCCAGACCTTCACCACCTACTCCGACAACCAGCCCGGTGTGCTGATCCAGGTGTACGAGGGCGAGCGCTCCATGACCAAGGACAACAACCTCCTCGGCAAGTTTGAGCTGTCCGGCATTGCCCCCGCCCCACGCGGCGTGCCCCAGATTGAGGTCACCTTCGACATTGATGCCAACGGCATCCTCAACGTGTCTGCGCAGGACAAGGCCTCTGGCAAGTCGAACAAGATCACCATCACCAACGACAAGGGCCGCCTGTCCAAGGACGAGATTGAGCGCATGGTGCAGGAGGCCGAGAAGTACAAGGCCCAGGATGAGGCCATGAAGGAGAAGGTCAACGCCAAGAACGGCCTCGAGTCGTACGCCTTCAACCTCAAGTCCACGGTCGACGACGAGAAGTTCAAGGACAAGATCAGCGACGACGACAAGAGCACCATCAAGGCCAAGTGCGACGAGGTCCTCGCCTGGCTCGACTCCAACCCGTCTGCGGAGAAGGACGAGATTGAGCACCAGCAGAAGGAGCTCGAGGGCGTTGCCAACCCCATCATGAGCAAGCTGTACGCCGAGGGTGGTGCTCCTGGCGGCGGTATGCCCGGTGGCATGCCCAACCAGGGTGGCCCACCACCTTCCACGGACCAGACCTCTGGCCCCACCATCGACGAGGTCGACTAAGCATCATCATCGTGAGGTGCTGACCCCCCCCCCTCGGCCTCACTCTCTGCGGCTGTGTCCGTGTGCTTTCCCTACCTTGAAACGTGCCACCCTTATGTTTTTTTGTTTTTTCGTTTTTCCTTTGATTCATTCAACACCACTACTGCACCTCCCTGTTTTGTGTTTTGGTTTTGCCTCCTGCACGCATGCTTGCAAGCACATTGTGTACGATCGATGATGACCTCGCTCGCCTGCCACGTTACCCTTGCTAATGCAATGACCACTACTGTTCCTGCTGTGTGAGATGATTTTTGACGACGCTTTGTTGTCATCGCTTCACCTGCATTGGTTTCGGTTTAATCTCTCTCGCCCATTACACAACAACAACACCACCAATCAATCAAATGACTGACAATGATGGGAACATGACGTGACAGTCGCAAGCTAACACACAGAGAGAGCACGAAACTGGCAAGAGAGAGACACAAGGGATCGATTTTGGGGGGAAGCACAAAGCAAGCAAGCAAGCAGGTCCTACGTGATGATGACTGATGGTGGAAATGGTAACGAAGCACCGGGTCGGATACAAGGGAGAGGAAAGAGAGAAAGAGCACAAGGAGAGTGGTGCATGGATAAAAGGGAGAGAGAAGGGGGGGGGGTACGGGGATACAAGAGAGTACACACACACGCACGCACACACACACACACACACACACACACACACACACACACACACACACACACACACACACACACACACACACACACACACACACACGTGTCAAGGTGCGGCTGTTGTTGTGACGACGGCGTTCTTGGGGATGCACACGTGATCCTCTTCTGCAAGCACAACCACAACGACGGCAGCCAGGAAGCCAACCAAGAATGTGACTGCGCTGATAATCTCCTTGCGAAGCGACGACCATCCCGTTAGGCGCGACGCCTTCTGCGCCTCCGGTATCAGCGTGCCCCCAATGGTGAACAGGAACGCACCCCCACCAACGCCCTCCGTGAAGTTGTGGTTGCCACCAGAGGAGTTGGAGAAAATGAGGAACCCAAAGATGGTGAGCATGAACAGCCACAGGGACAGAAACAGCACCAGCAGCAGTGCCTTGATGTACGCGTTGCTCAGGCTGCACACCGACGACGACGACGACGACGACGACGATGATGATGGTGATGAGCGGCGCCGCAAGCGTGACAGCGCGCGCATGAGCTTGTCCTTGTAGCGGTGGGCATAGCGGGACCCACTCACCCACACCAGCAGAATAACGAGGAACGCGCCAAACGCCGTGCCAGCAAACAGCTCCAGCATCGGCGTGTACGATTCCACGCGCTGGCAGTCTGGATCCGTCTCCTCAAACTCCACATACACCTCCGCTGCAACAGAGAAGATGAGCATGCCTGCGGCTGCAGACGTGGCGATGAACATGAGCTGGTGGATGCGCGACTCCTTGTGCCCGCGCCGGCCATAGGCCTTGCCTGATGTCGCTGCTGGCCGAATCAAGTCCACAAACATGGCAAACCCAGCAGCAAAGTTGAGGATGATCACAGATGCCAGGATCGCAGACGGCGTCTTGCCCTCGGACAAGGCCACGGCCAGCAGTAAGGATTCCGGGATGGAGGCAAGCAGCTCCACCAGGATCAGGAACGTGCCAAAATGACCGCCGCCGCCGCCACCACCGCCGCTGTCGCCGTCGCCGTCGCTGTCATGACTGTGGCCGACACCATCGCTCTCCATGTCCACGTGGCTACCGGCGCGGTAGTCGTCGTCGCCGCCATCAGCAGGCTCGACCGTGACAATTGGCGCGGGAGGCCGGCTGAGTGGAGGGGGAGGTGGTGGCGCCACCGACGACGATGATGCTGTGCCAGGCATCTCATCTGGCTGCTCGTTCATGGGCACATGCTGCTGGGTTTGGGACACCACGGGGGCGCTGTTGTCCAAGAGGCGCTCATGCAGGCGGTAGGAGGACGCGTTGGAAAGGTACCGCACGCGCTCAAACTGCACTTCTTCATCATCGTCAACGCCTCCGCTGCCGTTGACGCCAAGCAGGGGCCGGTATCCTCTGTTGTCGTGTTGCTGCTTCTCGTGTGCTTTGTGCGTGTGGATGAGCTCCTCCTCCTCTTCGTCTTCGTGCGGCCCAGCGCAGCAGTCATCCGGGCAGCCCTCGCACCCAATGCACTTCATGGTTGCATCAAGGCACGGGACAGAGCATGGGAGCGCAAACAGCAGCGCCACCAGCAGGTACGCCAGGACAAACCCAGATCCGCCTGCAGCACCCAGTGCCGCTGCTGTTCCCAGATCCCCATTGTTGCCAGCATCGACATCCATGCTTGGCTGCGTTGCGTGTGCGCAAGGCGAGAGGGGAGGCGGGATCAAGAGTGATTGAAGAGGGTGCTGCTGAACGACAGGTGTGGTGTGGTGTGGTGTGGTGTAGTGTGGAGAAGAGATCAAGCAAGGGCTCTCCTCAGGGACAGGAAGAAGGGAGCGAGAGATCAACGCACACGCTGGTGTGGTCACGGTGATGTGGCGTGAGGGAAAAAGCACAACACACAAACACACACAAACACACAGCACGATACAAAAAAGTGTAATGATTTGATGCGGCAATAATACCATAATTTGTTGCTGTTTTGTGGTGTCGCGAACGTCGGACAATGGCTGCGGTGCGACGACTGCCAAGCGCGGTGTTGAGGGTGCAGGAGCATGTGCTGCTGGCAAGGGGAGGGCTTGCTGGGGTGAAGGTGCAGGTTGGCCACAGAGGACCTGGGCATGCGGGCCCGAGGGCCTTTGTGCGTGAGCACTTTCCTTCCTTGAAGTTTCACAATGAAGGCATCCGTGCAACGCGCGACGTGCTCCCCGAACCAAACGCAACATCAAAGCTCCTCATCGAAACAGGTGTGTGTGTATGTGTGTGTGTGTGTGTGTGTGTGTGGGTGGGTGTGTGGGTGGGTGTGTGTGTGTGTGAAAATGCGTGTGTGTGTGGCTATGTGTGTGTGTGTGTGTGTGTGTGTGTGTGTGTGAAAATGCGTGTGTGTGTGTGTGTGTGAAAATGCGTGTGTGTGTGGCTATGTGTGTGTGTATGACTATGTGTGCCTGTGTGTGAAAAAGGGGGACATGTGCGGTTCAGTGGTCGTCGTCCATCTCTATGCCTCTGTGCCATGCACGCCGAACATACAGCACACCATTTATCCAGTGACAACCCCCCCCCTCACACACACACACACACACACACACACACACACACACACACACACACACACACACACACACACACACACACACACACACACACACACACACACACACACATAACGTTCCCCTTCCTCCTTTTCACCCCCATCCTTCCTTTTCTACCCTCCCCCTCTTCCCCGAATAACAAACGTGTTCAGATACAGGAAAGACAGAAGAGCTGGCGATACAAGGCAAGACATCGGATGAGATCCTGGACATGCTCATGTCCAAAGGGCTGATTGAGAAGGGCGCGCCCGTCGACATCAAGGCCACTTCCGCCTAAACAGCACGCAACAAGACCTGCCCAGCAACAATCGCAAGTCCCCTGCATTGCATGGCTGGCACAGTTGTTGGGGTTAGCGCTGCTGTTGTCACTTGTCTTGTTGCTGGTTTGATGTCTGATGGCCGTGTTTGCAACAATTCCCCCCCCCCCACAACATGGGTCTTTGCTGTCGCTCGAGTAGCTTTTTGGACTGTCTTCACACAATCCATTGTGCCGTGCTGTTGCGTGTCTGTGGTGTGTTGCGTGTGGTGGCTGTGGGTTGTGATTGCGCTGTGACGTATGGTCTGTAAGCGCTTCTTGCCCGCTTGCTCTGTCAGTGTCGTCGTGCTTCTTTTCTCTGTATGAGTGGTGGTGTACACACGCGAATACATGTGAATATCACACTCACACGCGCACACACGCACACGCACACGTCAGCATGGTCACTACTGCGATGCATCTTCGTTGCGCTTGCACACATAGACCGCATCATTCACAGTCGGCGGTTTCACGGGGCTGCAACAGTGTGTGTGTGTGTGTGTGTGTGTGTGTGTGTGTGTGTGTGTGTGCGTGTGTGTGCGTGTGTGTGTGTGTGTGTCATGGGTGAGGGCATGGCGCGATGGATATGAACTGTGCAGGTCAAGCGCTGGCGCAGTCAGCAAACATGATTGTTCACCATTCATGTTCGCCTGCACACACCTGAATCCAGCCGCTTGCGCCAGTTCAATAGTCTGCAGCAGCGTAACACGAGCAAGCACGGTGTATGGGGAGACAGAGGGAACGTGAGTGAGAACGTGGGAACGTGGGAATGTGAGGACGTGGGGCTTGCCGCGTACACACACACACACATACATACATACATACATACATACATACATACATACATACATACATACATACATACATACATACATACATACATACATACATACATACATACATACATACATACATACATACATACATACATACATACACACATACATACATACATACATACATACATACATACATACATACATACATACATCCATACATCCATACATACATACATCCATACATACATACATCCATACACACACATTCACGCCAGACCTTGTCGAGGTACTGCTGCGTCTGCTCTTTGTTGAGTGCGAGCACAAACTTGCCCGTCTCCATCAACAGCCGCGCGTTTGGCTTTGCCGCCAATTGCACATCCGGCGACAGCAAATGCGCCATGCTGGTGTTTGTATGTGTGTGTGTGTGTGCATGTGCGTGTGTGTATGTGTGTGTGTGTGCGTGTGCGTGCATGTGCATATGTGTATGTGTGTGTGAGAGTGTGTGTATGTGTGTGTGTGTGTGTGTGTCGCCGAGACAGCCAAGTCACGCACGCACGCACATACCCACATACACGTATCCCTGGCACTGTACGATTTCTCGTGAGATGCGAGCGAACCTGCTGGAGAAGAACATGGCGTGGAACATGTGCTGGAACTTGCGCTTCCTCGTCAGCGTCTCCAAGCTGTTGGGAGACAGCACGTGGATCGTCACTCGCGCTCCTGCACACGCATGTGTGTGTGCGTGCATGCGTGCGTACATGCGTACATGTGTGTATACATGTGTGTATGCGTGCGTACATGTGTATGTGTGTGTGTGTGTGCTCACACCATTCACTTTCCTCACGATCATCACCGCAATTATCACACAACAATCACAACTATCACGCCAACAAAGCGATTACCACCAGCACCACACCACACCCCCACCTGTGTCATCTGCCGCCTCTGCTGCCGGGAGGAGTTCGGCCATTAGTTGCGACACCTCGTCCTCAGACACATCCACCGCACTCTGTCAACACACGCGCCGCAACACATGGAAGTGGGGGGGGGAGGAGGTGAAAGGTGAGGTGCATGGTTCAGCAGCACCACGCGAGTGTGCACGTACATGCACGACTAGGAACAACAGCACATGCATGTTGGCTAACACGTGCACTGGGTCTTGAAGACGTGCGCACACAAGACGTTCACACACACACACACATGTACAAACCTTGACGTATTGGTCGTTGCGCTTCTCCAACATTTTCTCGTTCGTGGGCTCAATTCCAAACGAGACATACGGCCCTATGGGAAACAGAGAGTGGTGGTGGTGGCAATTGTGTCATGTGTGTATAATTTTGTGTGCGTGTGTGTGTGTGTGTCAGAGATGCGTCATGGATGTGCCATCGGTGCGCCTGTTGTGTGTTCAGTTGGGGGGGGGGGGGAAAGCACTATTATTGAACGTGGTTCACGAAATGATGGCTGCTGCTTCCGTGTTGGCGACGATGCACAATGTGTGACATCTCACCTGTCAGGATGTCGCCCCAATACCCGCGCCGTGCAACCGTCCCTTCCCGCTGACACACACACGCACACACACATTCCGCAGGGCGCAGGCATGCGTGAGCCCTGAGTGCACACACACACACACACACAGACACACACTCACAAGCACACACACACACGCAGACACACACGCACGACACACGCACTCACAAGCACACACACACACGCACGACACACACGACACACACACACGTACACACACGCACGGCACACACACACGGCACACATGCGCACGCACACAGGCACAGGTGCGGGCAAGAAAGCGCTGTACCGATTTGAGGAGTTCGCCAGAGGCGAGCGTTCTGTTTGGAATCTCATATGTCGTGTCGTGCAGCTCAAAGGCAAGGCCCGTCTCCCTGGTGACAGTGGTCGTGATTGTGACGGTGATTGTGACGGTGATGATCATAATGATGCTCAACAGTACGTGTGTTGATATTCCCCTCAAATGCAATGACGTCAAGGTTAGGGCGATCATCTTTTTTCGCAACACATCACACACACACACACACACACACACACACACACACACACACACACACACACACACACACACACACACCTCCATCGTGCAAACTGCCTGGCGTTAATGATGGGCGCCTTCTCGCTGATGTTCATCGAATAGTCCCAGTCGTACAAATTCGTCCGCACGTCATACCGCTGCTTGTAGAAGCTGGCACGAGCGCGGTGTTGAAGTGAGGGTACAGCCGGTGGCATGTGTGGGCGTGTACGTAAATGTGTGCGTAAATGTGTGTGTGTGTGTATTCTTTTGTGTATACGCAAATGTGTGCGCTTACGTGTATGTGTATGTGTGTGTGCATTGTTGCAATGGCTACCTGCGTAGGCGCTCGTCCCAGTGTGCTGCGATGGGAAACACCCTGATGGTCAGAAGCGTGCGAACAACAGCGTTCGTGAGGGCAAGACAGAAGCGCCACACTCATCCACACATATGCACATGTGTCTGCGTATTCACCCGTGTATACACGTGTACACACTTGCACCACACACACACACACACACCACACGTGCACACACAAAACACGACCAAAGACTGCGTACTCTGTGTCATCGGTGCGCCAGAACTTGAGAATGGCTTCCAAGTCATCGCATTCGCGAAACTTGAGGTGGTTGATGCGGAACCACGGCATCTGTTGCTGCATCTCATCGGGGTCCGTCACCTGTACCACAGAGACAGAGACAGACAGACAGACAGACAGACAGACGAGGGGGCGGTGAGTCAACTGCGAGCTGGTGAATCACAAAGCAGATGAAATGCATCACATCACTGAACATAACAACGACACTCTGTGGCTGGCAAACGTACCAGCCGGATGAGGCGGGTCGCTTCTTGGCACAGAAACTCGTTGGTCACAGGTCTGCCAAATGCAATGCCAGTGTGTGTGTGTGTGTGTGTGTGTGTGTGTGTGTGTGTGTGTGTGTGTGTGTGTGAGCGAGTGCACTTGTGCGTATGGAATGAGCATGCTTTCGTGTTTCGTGTGGATATGCGCGCAAGCGCTGCTATCGTTGTTGACCACTGGCCGCTCACCGGACATGACTGTTCCCAAAGAGTTCGAGGAAGAGATGGGTGCGCTCTTGCAACCCAAGCTCCTGTAGCATGAGCAGATCACACCGTTGTGAACGGCAACTTGTAAGGTGGTACAGGTACATTAACAAACGAGGTAAGCGTATCCGCACACGCACAACAACTACACACGCACACACACACGCACACGCACACGCACACGCACACGCACACGCACACGCACCCGCACACGCACACGCACACGCACACGCACACACACACGCACACGCACACACACACACACACACACACACACACACACACACACACACACACACACCCATGAACAAGTACGAGCCAACCAACCCCCTCCCCCGCTTCCCTTGGCTGTCCATTCATTACCTCTGTTGGCTTCATAGCGATGCTGAGCAAGAGGAGGTGGCGTGCCACCACTTCCATGCGACTCTCCACCACATACACGTTCACTTGCCGCCCTTTGTTGTATGGCGGGTCGCCTCGCTTTGCAGCAGCCAACATCTTCAGCATGTGGCGGCAGTCGCTCGCCCCAACGAGCAGCACGTTGATGGGCTCGTCTCCGTCCGCCTGCACCACCTCGGCATCCAAAAGCGTCGTCACAGGGTCCATCGCGGGGGACAGCCCCCACCAAGCCACGCGCCCCACACCCTCACTCATGATGGCCCGCAAGTTGCACTGGCACTGTTGTTGTTGTTGTTGGTCGCTGTCTGATGCTGCTCCCTTTGTAGCTTGCTTGCTTGCTCGGCTGTGTTGGTGGTCTTGCGTGTTGTTGGCTTGTATCCGTTGCCAAACAACACACACACAAACGCGAGAAAACTTTGAAAGTGGCGGCAGAGATACACACAAGACAACAAGAAGAAGCGATACCGCCGTTGCAAGGACCAGCCAGCAGAGGCAAGGGAGTGAAGATGGATGGCAAGGGCGAGGCTGGAGATCCAGCCCGGCAGCAGCAGGAGGAGGAGGAAGGAAGTGATGCGGCTGCTTCCACGACAGCATCCACAGCAGGGTCAAAGCCGAGGCGGCGAAGGAGGGCGGCAAGATCAAAAGGTATGCCTGACAACGGTGAATGAGGGATTGTTGTGCGGTGTGTGTTGCTTGTTGTGCTGGTGTGGATTGTTGGTCGGGCTCCTGGCACCTCTCCCCTCTCTCTCTCTCACTCCCCTCCATCAACACACACCTCTGCCTCACCACACCCCCTCCCCCCTGTGCAGAGTCAAAGCTGGAGAACTACGATGCGTTGAACTGGCGCATTCACCAGCTGTACACGGAGCAGCGCTTCGATGACTGCGACGTACGTGAAGCGTGCTCGGACTCAGGCAGGCTTGGGAAGAGGGCAGTGACATGCACACTCTGGCTCGCCATCAGTGTCTCTCTCATGCACGGTCTCGCATATGTCAATCTGTCGCCGACAAACCAGCCTCATCATCTTGTCTCCTTTGACTCAACTGAACCTTTTCACAGAAGCTCATCGAGCTCGCACTTCAACGGTCCCAGAGTCAGTGCGACTATGCCCTTTATGTTCGAGGTGAGCCTGGTTTCATGACATGTTTGTGTCTGTGTGTTTGTCTGTGTGTGTGTGCGTGTGTTAACGATGTGTGCGTGCGTGTGTGATGCCTGTGTGTAGTGTCGCAGGCTGCACCATGGGCATGACTTGCCCACATGCAATGCGGCCCTCTTTCTGCAACTCATTCTCCTTCCCCATATCACCAACAGGGATGATCCTGAAAGCCCAAGGACAGCTCAAGGAGGCCCAGACCGCCTTCCAGGAAGTCCTCAGATTGCGACCAACAAACCACCACGCTGCACTCCAAATCGCCCGCTGCCTGTACGCCGTGTCTGAGCGTCTGCGTCTGTGTGTGTGTGTGTATGTACGTGTGTGTGTGTGCGTGTGTCTGTGTGTATGTCTGTGTGCGTGTGTCTGTGTGTATGTCTGTCCGTCTGTCTGTCTGTCTGTGTGCATGCCTAGTTGTTCGCTTTTGTCTGTCTCTGTGCCCTTGTCCATGGTTGCTTGCATTTCTTTCCTCCTCTAATAACACATGGCTATGTGTCTCTACGAACACGCTCCCCCCCCCCCTCCAACAACAACAACAACAACAACACCCACACCCCCCCCCCCATACACACACATCACTACACGTCGTGCAGGTATCTGAGCGGCAAGTTCCGGGCGGCACTGGACGTGTTTGACCAGGCCGCAGAGATTGGCGTCAGCAGCTGGGTAAGGCATCACCACCTACTTGTTGCTCCTCGGTGCTGAGTGTGCGGAAACAGTGGGGGTGGCAGTGCACATGTGCAGCAAGCGCAGCTTGCACAGAAATCACACACACACACACACACACACACACACACAAGTACTTTCACACACACACACATGTGCATCCACACGGTGATTCCGCCCCCTGTCTGAGTGTGCGGAAACAGTGGGGGTGGCAGTGCACCCGTGCAGCAAGCGCAGCTTACACAGAAATCACGCACACAAGTACTTTCACACACACACACACATGTGCATCCACACGGTGATTGCGCCCCCCCCCGCTCTCAACTCTCGCCTGCGTATTGCAGCGGGTACACCACGACAAGAGCATGTGCCACGTGCGGCTGAAGCAATACGACCAGGCCGAGCAGCTGCTTGGGCGCGCACTCGCCATCTACAACAATGCGCTGTCGCTGCAGCAGCTGGCGCGTGTTCGCATCCTCACATCGGATCTGCCCGGTGCTGCCAAGGCATACGAGGAGGCTCTCAAGTGCGCACCCGTTGTTGCAGTTGCGCGTCGACAGTGGAGACGAGGGGGAAGGGGGGTGGTGTCATGGAGAGGTGTATCGTCGTGAGGGTTTGACATTTGGTGCTGGTGGCCGGCAGCGTGCTGTGGGCTGTGTGTTACACCTCTTCCGCTCACACACACACACACACACACACACACACACACACACACACACACACACACACACACACACACACACACACACCCTGTGGTGCAGGATCTCTCCCGAGGACACGGAGATCATGACAAGTCTTGGGCTGCTGTATCTGCGGATGGGGCAGCCCAGTCGCGCCTTTGAGCTCTTTGGCACCTGCCTCACATACGATCCGCGCGACACACGGGTGCGGTGGCGTGATGGCGGTCGGCGTGGCAGTGGTGCTGGTGTTGGTGCTGGTGGTGATGGTTGGAGTGTATGTTGCATGTGGTGGTGGTAGTGGTGGTGGTGATCGATGCATATGACTTCCAGATGTCGTGGATTTGTTGTGTTGTGCCATCAGCCGTGTACGCAGCAGAACCCGCTCGTGCTTGTTCCGACTGCCCATGTACACCTCTCTACACTCAACCCCTCGCCTCCTCTCCTTTATCGCAACCTCCACCGGCCATGTTGCGCACAACAGGCAATTCTCGCCGCTGCGTCCATCATCCAAGACAACGAGGACTACGACGTCGCACTCGTTAAATACCGCATCTCGGCAGGTGCAGCGTACACACGCGGGGGTGTATTGGGGTGTGGAGTGTGGGGTGGAGATGGGAGATTGCGGTATCGTGGCTGTATTTCTCATTGCACCTTCTTCGAACATTCACACGCACACACACACACACACATGCACACACACACACACACATGCACACACGCACACTGCACACACACATACAGTGCTGACGCCAGAATCAGCAGAGCTGTGGAACAACATTGGCATGTGCTTCTTTGGAAAGCAGAAATATGTGGCGGTGCGTTGTGCAACCACTGTTACTGGCAGGCGCCTCTTCTTGCAATGTGGACATTCTGTCCCTTTGCATCCCCAGTTATAGTTGACTCTTGTTCGCCAGCTCGTCGCCACATCCTCTTTTTGCGCTGCTCTCCCTTGTTATATTCCTCTTGTCCACGATTCACACCCACATCGCAACCACATCAACATGCATGCCACGCACAATGGCGTGTCCCTTCTCCCTCCTCACACATACGCACACACACACACACTCTCTCTCTCTCTCATCACCACCTTCGTCATCACCACCACCACCACAACTGCTAGGCCATTGCGTGCCTGAAGCGTGCAGCGTACCTTGCTCCATTCGAGTGGATGGTTGCGTTCAACCTCGGTCTGGTCCACCTCACCGTTGGCCAGCACGCCTCCGCCTACCACTTCTTCAGCGCATCTGTGAAGCTCCGGCCGAAGTTTGCGCCCGCGTATGGCCTGCTTGGCGTCACCCTGCACAATCTCAAGGATCCAGAGAGCGCAGACACCGCTTTCAAGCGCGCAATCCAACTCGACCCGTGTGTGCCTCTGTGTGTGTGTGTGTGTGTGTGTGTGTGTGTGTGTGTGTGTGTGTGCCTCTGTGTGTGTGTGTGTGTGTGTGTGTACGTGTGTGTGTGTGTGTGTGTGTGTGTGTACGTGTGTGTGTGTGTGTACGTGTATGTGTGTACGTGTGTGAGAGATGAGAGAGCATTACTCAAACACACAAGCACACGCACATGCAGTCTCCCTCTCACCTCCTGTGCGCACATGTGTATGCGTGCCCATGTACCCTGTATGGCCTTGGTCGTGTGGTTTCGCATCACACTCACGCGCCCTCACGTGCTCATGCCGTGGACAGGAGTGACCCCATCACACACATCAACTACGCTGTCATGCTCTTTGAGCACGGTGACATCAAGGGCGCAGCACAGCAGTGAGTTGATGCAACCAGCAACAGATGCCCCTCTACGAACTGTTCACACACAGAGAATACACACACACACACACTCACACACGCCCAAAGTGGCTGCTGCTCTCTCGCATGTGTGCATGTCGAGGCCTTTCTCCCTCACACGCTTGGTTGATGGTGATTGTCATTCAGATTCAGCGTGTATGAAACCATTGCTGACAACATGGAAGGCTTTAAGGTTCGTATTACTTATGCACACACACACACACACGCGCAGACCTGGCATTAAACAACTCATATTCACATGCACGCACACACACTGTAACTGGTATCAACTCAACTCATTCTCGCATCCCGTCGCCGTTTGCTTTCTCTCTCCCTCCCAACGCCGTGCGGTGACGCGCACGCATCCATTACCATCGCTACCATCACTGCCACCTTCATCACTGCCACCACCACCCTTGCCACCACCACTGCTCTCCCCTCGCCATCACGATCTCGCTTCTCCTTGCCACCACCATCCACCGTATTGCTCACCACAACACCGTCCAACACCGCCACACCTCACACAATGCAGGAAGAACATGGTGACTGTGTGCACACTGCTCGGCTGCTGCAGACAAAACTGAAGACAAATAACACATCCACGGCCTCTGCTGCCAAGTCCAGCACAACACCAGCAGCAACAGCAGCATCGTCGTCAGCACAGGTGCCACCAGTCTCGGCTGTGCCAGCGGCAAACGGTGACAGCTCCCAAGAGATGCTGCTCTAACTGCCAAAGAATCTGCATCACCGTTGATTTGTTTTGTTTTGGACGCATGTCGATGTGGCAGAGAGGGAAAGGAGAGGGGAGAAGGTGTGTGTGTGCGTGTGTGTGTGTGTGTGTGTGCATGGTTATCATCCACCGTTTCCATTGACTTGAAGAAACAGTCAGAGAGCCAGTCAGACATGGGCAAGCAAATAGGTACGCAGAAATGCAACAGACAGATGGGAACAGTCACACAACAGACAGATGGGGAAAGCTAGAAGCAGACAGTCAGGCGGGCCAAGGAAATAACACTGCACCACACTTACAGGATCATGCAGAAGATCATGAAGACGTTCCAGATGGCAATGAAGACGCGAAAGTACCTCAGGCTGCGCAGGAATTCTCTCAATTTGTCCCCTATCAACGTGAATGCGCCCGGGTGTATTGTCAGACAGGCAACTGCAAGCACGATCATGTCACATTCGCACAACACATGGCAAGACGACACCACCACCAACCACCAACCACCACCACACTATCAAAGCATGGGAGCGAACCCCCCTCCCCCTACCACCATCGGTGGCGCTCGTTTACGCACAGGTTGATGGTTCTGTTTCCTCAAAGTCAAACTCCTCCTTGCTTCCTCTTTGATTTCACGCCCAACAACGCATGCATATCACGGACGTGGTGAGGGCGCGAACACCACATACCACGAGTGGAAATCAACAACAAGTCAACAATAGAGTCACATCAGCCACCATAGGGAAGGGTAGGAGCACGCGGCATGTGCGACACTCACAGCTTGAAGTTGAGGATGGCTCCCGCGTTCAGGAACAGCGTTCTGGCACACAATATATGCATGTATGAATGAATGATGCGTGGGTTGTGTGTGCATGTGCGTGCAATTGATGTGACTGAAGGAAAAGAGAGAGAGAGAGAAACAGCAACAGCACACACACAAAACACGCATCCACCACACAAGCAAACGCAAAGGACCCCAAGACATCACCAACAACATGCATGCACCAACAGCATAGCATGCAACAGCAGCACGCTCACGCTGCAAGCAGGATGTCGCTCAGGCCCATCGTCTTTGGTTGTGGTTCATGAAAAGTATCGGGAAATATGACCAATCTTCACTAACGGCACCAAGGCGGAAGAAGGCAACAAGACGGCGCACCACAACTCCACTCACTGCTTGTCGCTGTGCTTGCTTGGCTGTGGTTGGGGGATGGGATGGCGAGCCATGACCGAGACGGTGCTGGTCACAGAACTGGCACTGCCGCGGTGACTGACAGCAGTTCACAGCATAGAACCGCCGCCGATGACACTGCATTCCCTACCTCATGGGAAAGCCGCATACCCCAACTGTCTGAACCACTGCAACAACAACAACAGAGACAACAACAACGACCGCACCAACAACCGCTGCAAGCAGAAGATGATGATGAAGCAGCTGTGGACGCAGCCGCATTGTTGCAGCTGATCCGCGCCAAGCACAACCTTGGCACAACTATCACAACACCAGACGACCCAAAGAACTCTAGCAATGCCACTGCTGCACGCAACCAATCAGCTGCACGACCGGGCACAACAAAATCACCAATCACAAGCACGCCTACACCACCCACAGGAACACCAACAGCAGCTGCGAGGAAGACAAGCCCAAGCCCAAGCCCAAGCCCAATGTCGCCTGAAGCAGGCTCTTCGCTCCTATCGGCGGCAGCGCACGAGCTGCGGCTGAGCCAAGAAACGACCGAGTGGAGGCGGGGCATCCGCGCCCAGGTGTTCCACAGACACATGATGCTGCGGCGATGCTGGGATCGCTGGCTGCGACTGCGGCCGCAACGGCGCCAGGACCTGGCAAACTACGCCGTGGCCAACAGCTTCCGTGATGCCCTGCTCATGAAGCAAGCCTTTGAGCTGTGGCGCCAGCGGCAGCAGCTGCTCCGCCAGCGCCAGGCGGACGGCCATGCCGCGAACGCCTTCCATCGCTCCATGCAGATGCACGCTGCACTGCGCCTTTGGCAGCGCCGACTACACCTCGTCGCTGAGCTACGACGCCTGGAGCAAGCCAGCCACCCCCACATGGATGCGGTGCGAGCGCGTGCAGCCCTGCAGCGCTGGTGGTGCACGTGTGCAAAGAAGCGCCTTCTTGCCGAGCGAGCCGCCACCCTGCAGCCCATCGCTGCTCGCCTGCGTGCGCACCAGCACCTGCAACGGTGGCGAGCGCGCCTGGCAGCTGTTCGTCACCTGTACTCGCGCCTCGCGTCGTACACCTTCGACAGGACAGTTCATTGCCAGCGCCGCCACCTGCACCTTTGGAGGGCGCACGCTGCCCATCAGCAGCGCGTGCGCGCAATGTCAAACACGGCACTGCAGCTACACCGCCGGCATGTGTGCCGCAACACCATGTCACGCTGGCGGACAACACTGCAGCTTGTGCAGACAGATGCACGCATGACGGCAGATTTCCACACCCGCGTGCGGGCGCCGCTGCTGCTCCTGCGAACGCTCCATGCAATGCGCGTGCGTGCACATCACGCTCGGCAGTCACGCGAGCGCGAACACGCGGCTTATGCGCACAGGCGCCACAACCTCCTCTCAACAGCGCTAGCGGCGTGGCGGCTGGCGCACGACCAACAAGAGGCCATTGCCATGCAGCCACGCGTCATCACCGCCATCAGGCACCACCAGCGCTCCACCCTCACGCGTACGTGGCTGGCGTGGCACAAAGCACTGACAACAGCACGACGCATCGCCCCGCTGTCGGCAATTGCAGACCATCACTGGCGCATGAAGGCGGTGCCAACCTGCCTCGCGCACTGGCGAACACTGACAAAGGAAAGGCGCCACGCACGCGCACTGGACAGGGCGTCCACCGCGTTTCGATGGCGTCATGTGCAAAGCGCCGCGCTTGACCGTTGGAGAGAGCGCGCGCGCGGGCGAATGAAGGAGAGGGAGCTCCTGCCAGACGCCGATGCGTTGCTTGCAGGCACGGTGCTCGTTCGCGCATTTCGCACGTGGCGCAGCCACTGGCAGCAGCAACGCGTGCGAGCGGCACAGGTGGAGGTGGCGGCGTGCCAGCATGAAGGGTGGCTGGTGTGGTCGGCGTGGCGGCGTTGGCACGGCGCGTGGAGGCAACAGCTGCAGCTCCAACACGTGTACACATGCGCAGCGGCTGCACACGAGCGGTGGGCGGTGGCTGTGGCGTGGCGGCGGTGGCAGGGGAGGTTTCAGCATCGACAGCACATTGCCAGCGTGGCCGTGCACGTGACGAGACAGCAGCAGCAGCGCCTTGAGAGCCGGGTGTGGGACAGGTGGCGCGCGCTCACTGCACACATGCGCACGCAGCGACTGTCAACACGCCGTGCAATGCAGCAGAGGCACCTGCAGCTGCAGCGGCGATATCTGCATTTGTGGCGTGCGCGGTGCAACGCAGCACGGCAGGCAGCCGGCCACCACAACGCCGCCGTGATGAGAACGGCATTGCGTCGCATGCAATCTGCACTTGCGCACACGCGCGCGAA